TTTCATTCATATAAAGTTTAAAAACAGATACGTTAATTTAGGTATGAACACATAGATGGTAAAACTATAAATAAAAGTAAGGAAATGATTGCCATTCCCCCCCCCCCCCCGACACACACACCACTTTTAGGCAGGGAGAATTAAGACCGTAGAGTGACACTTGGAGCAGGTGTTTTCTGGGGTGCTGGAGGTGTACCCTTTCTTTCCTCTCTGCAGTGGTTAGATAGAAGTTTCCTGTGTAATTATCCTGTGAAATGTACACAAATGTTTCATCTACTCTTCTCTATATTGGATATCCCGCAATTTTTTTAAATGACAATAAATTGCCGAATCTTACAGAAATTTCTTTCATTTAGAACTTTGAATGTTTTCTTCCTTGTGAAAAAGGATCTTGACAGACTGTATCCATTTTTTTGATTCGGTTCTCTTGCCTTAGATAAGAATGTCATATAATCAATTCCACTGTCTTTACATTACAATTCACAAGAGAGATTTCGTAAGGAGGCAATGAAGAGGAAGAGACAGAAGACGGTCAACTCAAGGCTGACCTTTCAGGGCAGACCCAGTGTCTGACACATGGCAGGAACTCAGTGGGAGTCTGCCCTGATGAAACAGGCAGTGGCAGCTGGGGCTGGGGCTGACTCAGGGAGCATTTCTCCATCTTTTGTCTCGGGAAGAGTTTTTTACAATAGACACCTGGTAGATACGGTGTTGTGAAACTTTGGGGTTTCGAGATGTTTTCCAGCCAGAGACGTTTGTGTAGGGGGCTAAGTCTATCTGGCTAAGTCTATCTATCCCTCAGGACTTGCTTCTTTAGTCAGTTTGTAGAGCACTGATGTATCTATACATGGCTTTGAACAGAGCAAAGAGACCAGGCCTCATCTTATGATGCTCTGTAAATTGTATCATCTTGCCGAATCCAGCACAGCACGGAATCATCCGTGCCGTGACTGAATCTTTTCTAAAGTTGATTCTTTAGGGCAGCAGGAAACCAAGGTGGTTTTAAAGAATCATTTGGCAAGCCAGCAAATAAATGCAGTTGGCCCTGGAACAGTATAGATGGGAACAGCACAAGTCCACTTATATGTGGAATTTTTTCGATACAGAGCAATACTGTAAATATACTTTCTCTTCCTTACAACTTTCAAAACATTTTCTTTTCTCTAGATTATTTTATTGTAAGAATACAGTAAATAATACATAGAACATATAAAATACATATTTACGTGATCATTAATGCTTCTAGTCAACAATAGGTGAGTAGTAAAGTTTGGGGGGAGTCAAAAGTTACACATGGACCTTTGACTGTGTGGGCATCAGCCCTTCTAAGCCCCAGTTGTTCAAGGATCAACTGAATGCACCACGTGTAGAAATGCTTGTGAGCCTGTGATGAGTCTATATGGGAACAGGCTCCCAGGAGTAGTGTGTCCTACCAAACAGTGGTGACCATGTTCCCACCATGAATTAACTGCTATGTCCTGATGTCACTGTTTATTCAAAATGGTCTCAGCTATCTACAGTTGCCAAGATCCTGAATGGGATGAAAAATATTAAGGGTCACTAAGGACATCTGCATCTTTCTGCACATGAGAGCATATGGGCTAAAAAAGGAAAAACCTGGCCCAGTAATAAAAACACCAAGTGACCACTTTGAACCACGTGATCTAGAGAGTTTCAGTTCCCTAGTTGTAGTTCTGCCTTCCACTGATGGTATGACCTTGGACTAGTACTATAACCACTCCAACCTTCAATTCCTCACTTGGAAGTGTCAGTCATGTGTTTCATGGGTATCCCACAAACTTGTGAAAATGAAATGAAGAGAGACATACAAAACTTCCTGTTGACTGCAAAGCCTTACATATTTGTAAGGCTTTAATCTTTTAATCTTTTTTGGATCTTAATCTTATAATCTTTTAATTTAATCTTTTTATATCTTAATCTTTTTAACCTTTTCTAATTATACAGTTAACATTTATCATTCATTACAAAAAAAAACATGAGGTTTAAAGAAAAAAATCTTCTTCCTCATTAGTAGTCTTGAGAACTGACCAAATTTGACAAATTTATATATACTTTATATATATACTTTATATGAATGTGTGTATATATTTGCATGCATATTTTTTAACAAAAAAGGGATCATATCCTACTAATCAGTACAATACCGTGCAGCAAATTTTAATGAGGGGAACTGTTCCATATGGACATAGAACAAGGATACTTTATGTAACAAAGTTGCAGAACAACATTTAGAGTACAACAATATTTGTGTAGACACAGAGTTCATGGCTTCCTCTGGTAAAAATATGTTGCAAAGGAGTGAAGTATTTTTTACTTCACACAGCTCTCTACCACTATCATTTTTTCTCTTAACCATATATACTTTAACAATAATTAATAAAGACTGTGCAGGAGAAAGTGCTGCATAAGTCAGCCAAATGGAGACTATGCCATTGAAGTTGGAAGGAAAATAGCAGACTCAGGGCCGGGGGGAACACTGAGAGAGAAGATTATATCAAAGAAATGGGAAAATGAAATAAAAGAAGCAAAATAAATGTAAGCATGTTGCAATTTTCAAAATTATTCATTGGGGGGCACCTGGGTGGCTCAGTGGGTTAAGCCGCTGCCTTCGGCTCAGGTCATGATCTCAGGGTCCTGGGATCGAGCCCCGCATGGGGCTCTCTGCTCAGCAGGGAGCCTGCTTCCCCCCTCTCTCTCTGCCTGCCTCTCTGCTTACTTGTGATCTCTCTCTCTCTCGTGTGTCAAATAAATAAATAAAATATATATAAAAAAATTATTCATTGGGGAATAGAAAGAAACTGATCGTGCAATTTCTGCCGTCAACTTTCTTGTAACATATGACACAGCAAGAAGATACTCAGTTCTGCTGACTAGTTCTTTTTAATGACCCTGCGCAACAAAGGGCAAGTAGAGGCCAACACAGATCTGCCGAGAGTAAGAAGGGCTAAGTAGGGCCAGTGCTCAACTCCTTTGCAATTTTCATGTCTTTTTTTCTTTTTAAGGTTTTTTTATTTATTTGACAGAGAGAGACAGCGAGAAAGGAAACAAGCAGGGGGAGTGGGAGAGGGAGAAACAGGCTCCCCACTGAGCAGAGAACCTGAGGTACGGCTTGATCCCAGGACCCTAGGATCATGATCTGAGTTGAAGGCAGATGCTTAACGACTGAGCCACCCAGGTGCCCTCATGCCTTATAAAAATATACAAAACAGCCATAAATTTGGGAGATGTGCATAAATGACAATCTATTGTCCCCTGGTATTTTCAAGCAACAGAATTTTGTCTATAGACACCATTGCTTTCAATAAATCTTTGTATCCTCTCCAACAACAAAGCCTGTATGTCTATGTTCAAAATCTACTTTGAACCTCTCTACGTCTGTTTTCATCACCATCAACCCAGTTCAAGTTCACTCCCACCTCTTTTCACTGCAGCGGCGCTCTGACTAGTCTCTTCATTTCCATGTTGGCTCTCCCTCTTCCCCACCATAACCTTCCCACAAGAATATCAAAACAATCTTCCTAAAATGCTCACGGCATGAAAACTAAACTCCTTTGCACGACTTCAAGAAGCTACATGACCTGTCCCTTGCTTTGCCTCTTCCAGTCACCTTTAAGGGTTCCAGCTGTGCTAAGATTTTTCTCACCTCAGTCCTTGCCATGCTATTCTACAAACAGAAATGCTCTGCTATTCTTCCGGTTTCAGTTTCTCACAGATTTCTTCAGTCTCCTCCCATCCTCTAAATCAGGTCATAACCTGTATTTCTACATTTATTTGTATGGTAAAGGTTTTATCGTTCTTCTGTACTATGTCAAAGATGCATAATGACTCTACAGGGGTTCATGACACTATCCTCTCTACTTTTGTCTATATTTGAAATTTCCCATAATAAAATCCTTTAAGAATAAATGAAACAAGATGGACTCGGGAGAGAGACAAACCATAAGAGACTCTTAATGTCACAAAACAAACTGAGGGTTGTGGGGGGGGGTGGGGGAGAGGGTGGTTGGGTTATGGACATTGGGGAGGGTATGTGCTATGGTGAGTGCTGTGAAGTGTGTAAACCTGGCAATTCACAGACCTGTACCCCTGGGGCTAATAATACATTATATGTTTATTAAAAAAAAACAAAACAAAAACAAAAACCACACTGGGTTTCACAGACACAATTTCACACACACACAAAAGGCAAAATAGCTCATTAATAATTCTCAAGATGGATGACATGTTGAAATGATAGTATTTTGGCTATCTTGGGTTAAATCAATAAATCACTAAATTAAATAAATAAATAAATAAATAAAATCCTTTAAAATTTTCCCTTGGATCCTGCAAGTGAAAACCAACAGTTTTGCTTGCAATTATCCTAGTTTTCCATGTTTTGTATTTTTTTTATTTTATTTTCCTTTTTGTGATGATTTTTTTGGTTTTTGTTTAGTAACTGCCACAAAATGCCAGTATTTTTTAAATAGATTTTATTTATTTATCTGACAGACAGAGATCACAGGTAGGCAGAGAGGCAGGTAGAGAGAGAGGAAGGGAAGCAGGCTCCCTGCTGAGCAGAAAGCCCAATGCAGGGCTCCATCGCAGGACCCTGGGATCATGACCTGAGCCGAAGGCAGAGGCTTTAACTCACTGAGCCACCCAGGTGCCCCAAATGCCAGTATTTTAATGTTCCAAACAAGGTGTAATCTACAAGACAGTGAATTTGAAATTAACATCAGATAACCTAAAAGAAAGGTCAGAAGTTCATTTGTTCTTTCAGTTTCTGCTACTGAAGTGTTTTATTTGACTTCATTATTATTCAGTGAAAGGGACACTAGACCAGGGATATAAAACTTCTGACCTAGTTCTAGTCTGTCACTTTGAGTGAGTCACCAGACTTTGCTTCCTTTTTTATAATTAATATAATAAATAGGTAGAGTACTAATTTTTTATTTGATTTGTTTCCACAATTTGAAAAATCTAAAAAAGAGCAGTCATACACGATACCAAAGCTTTTTATTTTTTAATGTAGTGAAAACTCAAAAGAACTTTCCCTGTATTCATTCATAAGGTCATAACTCAGCAGCAGTGTTAATACCAGGTGTATCTACAAAGCCGAGAATGGGAATCACTACATCTCCTTCGTTAGATCGGATACTATGACTCTTCTCTTTTCTGTTGACATATTTGTGCAACATGCTGTAGTACTGGTCCTTTGGATTGAAAGTATACAGTGAGGAAATTTGCTGCCAGTCTTTGACAGTGGGGGTATTGTACTGCTTTGGATGCGTGCATTCAAAGAAACATTTAATATTCTCTTTGGCCAGTTCTGTTGCATGCTCTGTGGCCTGACTTTTAAGGATCTGCTGCTCCTGTTCCAAATAGATTTTCCAGAATTTCAGCTGCAGGAAACTAACTGGAGATAGGCATCGGGAGACAGATGTAAAGATCAGAAGGAAGATGATGACAACTGCTATCAGGATCCAGCCCAGAACCTTAGGGAAAAAACACAGAAAAAAACAGCAATTTAGCAACATTTTTTTAAAGATTTTATTTATTTATTTATTTGACAGAGGGATCACAAGTAGGCAGAGAGGCACCCAGGCGCCCCTAGCCATATTTTTAATATATATATCTATATCTATCTATAGATAGATAGATAGATAGATGTGTTTAAAATCCTTTTTAAAAAGATTTTATTTATTTGAGAGAGAGAGAGAGAGTGTGTGTGTGTGTGTGTACGCACGCGAGAGAGAAAGAGAGAGCAAGCGAGCACGCTCAGGAGCAGGGGGTAGGGGCAGAGGCAGAAGGAGAGGGAGAAGCAGACTCCTGGCTGAGAAGGGAGCTCCACTCAGGGCTCCATCCTGGGACCCTGGGATCATGCCAAGAGCTGAAGGCAGACGCTTCACCGACTGAGTCACCCAGGCGCCCCCAAATTTAAAAATTCCTACCTAGAGTTTGAACTACTCACAGTGATTATGATGATCAAGCAACAGTTTTAGGTCTTAGTCTCGCTCTCTTTTTTAAAAATCTATTTATGAGAGAGAGAGACAGATTCTCTGTGGAGCAGAAGCCCGAGATGGGGCTCAATCCCTAGACCCTAGGATCCTGACCCGAGCAGAGGGCAAAAGATTAACCCACTGAGCCACTCAGGCGCCCCAGGTCTTGGTCTCTTTAGAAGTGGCAGTAACTCCCAAAACCCTCGGTAGAACTGCTTGACAAATAATTTTCCAAGTCATGTCCAAGGCCCAGAGAATTCACTACGCTAGAATTCAAAACGTGGAATTTTGACAAATCCAAAGAAACAAGCATTCCTGTTCAAGAACCTCTTAGCTTGGGGCGCCTCAGTGGGTTAAGCCTCTGCCTTCGGCTCAGGTCATGATCTCGGGGTCCTGGGATCCAGCCCCACATCGGGCTCTCTGCTCAGCGGGCAGCCTGCTTCCCTTTCTCTCTCTCTGCCTGCCTCTCTGCCTACTTGTGATCTGTCTGTCAAATAAATAAATAAATAAAATCCTTTAAAAAGAAGAAGAAGAGGAAGAAGAACCTCTGAGCTTTACATGCCCAGAAGCAGCGTGGGGGTGGTGGCTTTAGAGCCAGGTCAACCCATTTTATTGTAACAATTCTGCCTTCTTCTGGCTGCACAAACAACTGGACCTGGGCACGGCGTATCAAGAAGATAACGTAGGGTTGGAGGTCAAGGGCCTGGCGCGGTATCCGGCCCAGCGCAGGTGCCTGCAATGGTACGAGCGCCTTCCCTCCTTCTCAGTCGTGCTACGGAAACAGTCGCCCTTCTCCTCTGTCTTCCGGGGTCCTGGGTCTGGACGCGCCCCTCTCCCGTCCTCCCGACCGTGGCCAGCGGCCGGCGCCTGACCTGCGACTGGGCCTTGAGCTCCTTCAGCAGGTCCTGCGCGTCGGACGCCTGGGCCGGGCTGCAGGGCGCCAGCGGCAGCCGGGCCTCGCAGGTGGGGTCGCGGCCCTGGCACAGGCGCCGCGCCAGGGGGGCGCTCCCGGAGGCGGCGCACTCGTAGAAGGCGCCCCCGAGCAGCGCCACCGACACCCAGGTGAGCGGCGCGACCGCGGCGGTGGCGCTGAGCTGCGCGAACACCAGGACGCCCCGCCGCCCCGCGCCGCAGCCCCCGGAGCGGGCGCCGCGCGCGCAGCAGCCGGTCAGCAGGCGCCAGGTGCGCGCGTTGAGCACGTAGCCCAGCAGGAAGAGGGCGAGCGCGGGCACCAGCAGGAAGACAAGGCCGTAGGGCAGGTTCCAGGTGGCGCTGCAGGGACACTGGAATACCGCGGTGGAGAACACGCGCTCGCCGCCCGCCGTCAGGAGGGTCACCAGGCCGTAGCCCAGCGTGCTGTGATGCTTGAGGTGCAGGTCCAGCACCGTCCGGAACTTATCCATGGGCCGCCTACCCCCGCGCGCGCCGTGCACGGGCCTCTCAGCTTCTGCCTCTTCAGGGCGCTGCTCCTGCAACGGTTTGGGTGCGCTGAGGTCTAGGGCTTTCCACTCTGCTGGGCAGCAGCTTCCGATCTGGGGAGAAGGGCTTCTTGGGCCTCTGTGAGCTTTCGCTTTCTTATTTCAAGCCGGCCAAGTCTGGCTGATACACCCTTGACCTCTCAGGATCCCTGGTTTGGCTGATTCCATGGTTACCTTTGTTTCTACCCAACTGACAAGAAACCAGGGGACTTTCCTTACCCTTCCTGATTCGATGCAGCTACCCAAAGAAAAGAGAACAAAATTCTACTTGCATAAATGCAGAATGCCAGGTTTTCCCCTATTACAGCCCCCTTCCTTCTAAGCTCTCAGACCCAAACCATTACAAAAAAAACTAGTCAGTTACAGGAAACATTACTCAAGGACAAACTTCTGGTTCCTCTTTCATAAGCTAAATCACAACAAAGCCCAGCTCAATTTCTAGTACTTCCATGATCTTCTGGCCCCTCCTGTCCCCCTCCTGGACAGAATCACCGGCCTCATTCACACTGACTGTTGTCGCCTCTGATCTCCCACAGGGCGTTAGACTAAACCTATTGGACTGGCTTCTGCCTCTTTTATATCCCCCAGGTAGGTCCGAACACTGTCAATACCTGGAGGACAGAGCTACCTCCCACTACCCCTGCCTGGCCCCAAACCACCATTCTGTAGCATTTTGAGGAAAAGCAATTCTCTCTGTGTGAGTCCAAACGGTCATGCCGGACAGTTAGGCCCCCATCTCTGAGATGAAACCGGGTCCTGCCTGTAAACTTGCAGCAAAGTTCCGTATTTGAGGCACGTCATTTCTGCTTTATTCCTACATCTCAAAAAACATATTTTTTTCTTCCCTTGTCCCTCAGTTGACTCTGCCCCTCTTACTGCTAGATGCTTCTTTACTCCCACCACATACTCCCAAAGATGTTGCCTCCCTGCTCCACACTTTCTGCATACCACCATGATCGAATCCCACTCTATCCACAACCTTTATGCAGATGCCCTTATCCAAATCTCCCTTATCTGTAACCTAACTAAAATGTGCCCTTCCGTCCGCTTGAGTAACACATTTCACAAAACAAGAGGCTGGCCTCCTCCCATTACAATGTGCAAACCCAGGCTTTTCCGTTATCTTCTAATAGTTCATTCTACACTGAAGCTCAAGCTATCCCCCACAACCTCCTGCCTCACCTCACTCCTGCCATCTGTGTCCATTCCTTTCATTTATTAAGACTTCTGCGTCTGGCGACAGCTTTCCTCTTCCCCCCTGGCTCCTGTTATTTCGTCAAGGATTTGGTTTCAAATATTTTTAGTTCCAGAAACTTCCATCTTGTCAGGCTTCTATCCTAGCTAGAGTAATTCATTTGTTAACAGTTAACTAGTTCATTTGTTCATTCACTCATTCATTTAAATGTTTAATAAGCCCCCAGAATATGATAGGAACGTATGAAAGTGCCTGGTATTATTGGGTACAATAAAGAACAAGACAAACAGACACCTTCCTTTCATTGAGTTTGTATTAGAGGATATATAATGAGGAGGAAAGTCCTCAAGGTTATGAAAATAATTCAAATGGAATCATGTGGTAGAGAATGTCCCGAGAAAGCCTTTGTAAGGAGAGGACGTTTAAGGACAAATGTGAATGAGGAAGGCTGTGGGCTCCAAGGGAACTTAGCAGTCTGTGGTTGGAAAACAAGCCAGAGTGAAGGAACATTAAAGGTGAGGTCATGAGGTCGAGCTGCAGGGGGAAGGTCAGGTTTAGGGGCCTCTGTAGACCAGAGTATGTGGTTTGCAACCCTGCCCATGAAACTCATTACAGACTGAGCTCCCTCCTGCCCTATTATCCTGTCAGCTTGTGTCTCCAAACACTACCTCCTGAGGTTGCCACCACTGTGCTCCCCGCATCATGGATCTCCCAGATAGCAATGATCACTCTGTACTTATTACAGGTTACCGTAATTGCAAGAGTCTGGGTTCTGCCTGCCAGCCTGAATGTTCTCCTAGTACCAGCCGATAAGTCTAGTCCCTGACATCTACCCCTGCCCTCATGGAAGTAGTGGGCGGTTCTAGTTTGGAGTCTATTGGACATTGCTCAGCCCCTTATACCCAGCTCTGTCCGGAGAAGACATTGCTGAGTTCAGTACTTAGTGGAAATAGTAAAATACTAATGGTGTGGAGGGATTCAAGAATTTTTTCTTGAGAGTAGACTAAATAATACTTGAAAGACCTTCACGCTTCTGAGAATCTGTAACTTAACGCCAATTTACTTTAGCTTTAAAAAAATGAGTGTGAGATTCTCATGGTAAGCACACTGGAAAACCAGTAGTTATGGGTTTGGTTTGGTTTGGTTTGTCTTAACTGTAGGACTTTGTTTCTCAGCACTGTCATTATCACTGTCAGGAATGGGTTTCAGAAACCTCAAAAAAATCATGGAAAAGAAAGGAAGAGAAACTCTTGAAGGAATTTCACTCTGTGAATCTAAAAGGTCCTTGTAGTCATCTTCAAGTGAGTTAGATCTCAAATGTTATTCTCTGTAGTCTTCGTGAAAACTCAGACTAATGGTATGGCCTTGCTTGGAATATGACTTCTAGATTCTAGCGAGGTGTCAATCCTGGTCCCAAGACCCACCCATAAGAATCAAATCAAATCAAATCAAAATTCATCTGTATTTTAAGTATCTACCATGTGCAAGACTCAAATTTAGATGCCAAAAAATAAAAAGTAAATTTAGATCTGACACTCTTAATCTTAGAGAATACTTTACTGTGCATTATTATTTATGAATACATTGTTTATGTTATGTATTTAAAAAATCTGAGCCTGTTATTATCTTAAGATTTTTGAATGCTTGTAAAAGTTCTTCCAGTGCAAGTAAAAAGCAAGAGGAGAGAAAGATCAGACCTTTTCCCTGACACAGGAATGTCGTTTGTTAAATGGCAATCCCATGACATTTCAAGTAACCGTTTTATGGATTATTTTCCCCTTTTCTTAGCATGAATTGTCTAAACCTATCATAAAATTTTAAATATTCACTGATTCACACAGTGAATTTTAAATTTTAAATTATTTTAAATACTTAAAACGTATTTTCTTACAAAAGATGATTATTTTAACCCTGAGAACCTAGATGTGGTCAGTCTTTGCTGTCATCACTGTTGTCATCATCATCCTCATCTGACACCATAACTCTATAAAGGTTCTAGTTTTCCTTCCAAGGTTCTTTTTTCCTTTTTCCATTTTTTTTTTTTTTTAAGAGAGAGTGCAAGCAGAGGGTGTGGGGGGCAGAGGGAGAGAGAGAGAATCTTAAGCAGACTCAGTGCTGAGCATGGAGCCCAACACGGGGCTCAATCCCACGACCCTGTGATCATGATGCAAGCCGAAATCAAGAGTCAGTGCTCAACCAACTGAGCCACCCAGGTGCGCATCCTTCCATGGCTCTTAAAACCCATGTCTAGCTTCCTTTCCAACCAGGGCCCAGCAGGATGGCTCCTACCAAGAAGGGTGATAAGAAGAAGAAGGGTCATTCGTTCTGCCATCAACGAGGTAGTGACTAGAGAATACACCATCCACAGTCACAAGTGCATCTATGAGTGGGTATCAAGAAATGTGTCCCTTGGGCACTCAAAGAGACCTGGAAATTTGCCAGGAAGGACATGGGAACTCCAGATATGCACATTGACACCAGGCTCAACAAAGCTGTCTGGACCAAAGGAATAAGGAATGTTCCATACTGTACATCCATGTGCAGTTGTCCAGAAAACATAATGAGGAGGAAGATTCGACAAACAAGCTCTGTCCATTGGTTACCTATGTACCTGTCACCACTTCTAAAATCTACAGTTAATGTTGGATGAGAACTAATCGCTGATTGCCAAATAAAGGTATAAAACAAGAAAAAAAATGTCTATTAGGAATTTTGGTAAATTACATTATGTTTTTCCATTGACTCAAATTGTTTCACAGGTGATTTTAATGTATACTAGAGCTTCACTGTCAATGGCCACTTACTTATACTTCGCTTCATCACAAGTCCGATTACCCTCCTGTCAAATTTGGTTTACTAGTTTGTGAACTGTGATCAAAGATTTGGATTTCCAAAGATAATAATAATAAATAACAAATAAGATTAAAGTTTAAGAATAAAGAAAAAAGTAATTCAGGGCGCCTGGGTGGCTCAGTGGGCTAAGCCTCTGCCTTCAGCTCAGGTCCTGGGATCAAGCCCCGCATCGGGCTCTCTGCTCAGCAGGGAGCCTGCTACACCCCCCCCCCGCCGCCTGCCTCTCTGCCTACTTGTGACCTCTGTCTGTCAAATAAATAAGTTTAAAAATCTTAAAAAAAAAGAATAAAGAAAAAAATAATTTAATAGGAAGAAGTTTGGATTTTTTCAAATTATAAATGACATTATTGGGAAATATCAAAAATTTACATTAACTCAATGGAGGACATAAAATGTTGTGGAAGATCTTCCCTAAAAGAATGTATCACATAAGAGATGCCTGGTGGGCTCAGCTGGTAGAGCATGCAACTCTTGATCTCAGTGTTGTGAGTTCAAGCCCCACAGTGAGTATAGAGATTACTTAAAAATAAATAAATGAAACAAAATGAAAAAGAATACGTCACATGAAATATGCTGCAAATTTAAAACATTCACAACAATGGAATACAAAGTAGGTGCATATGATTGAGGTAGATCTGTATGTGCTGATATGAGTGAGAAGACAAGAGTTGACATGTTAATCGGAAGAGGTAAACAAAAACACAGCATGCCATACATTTGTGTAAGAACTCTGAGAAACAAACTGAGGGTTTTGGAGGGGCGGGTATTGGGGGGTTGGGTGAGCCTGGTGGTGGGTATTGTGGAGGGCAGTATTGCATGGAGCACTGGGTGTGGTGCATAAACAATGAATGCTGGAAGAGTGAAAAGAAATAAAATAAAATAAAATGGAAAAAAAAAAGAAAAAGAAAATGTATGTATGTCCCTTGCAGATTTGTATAATACTCTG